TTGTAAAATGTTTTACATGTTACAGAATATTTCCAAATGTAATGTGTAAACATGAAATAAGCTGTACGATGCGCTGCTTCCTGTCAGTACTGCATACGTTATCCCATCCCTCTGTGACAGTGGCGAAAGAGAAAAGCTGCAGGACTTCACATCCCACCTGGATCCCTCCACTGTTAACTTAGGTAACTATTTTAGATCTTTACCCAAGGCATGTGCTTTCAAAGGGTGCCTGTAATCTTCTGTCTTAAAGCTTTTCCTCCTGTCCTGAAGCTTCTTGAATTATATCACACATGGCTTTGACCCTCACTTAGACCCTCCTCATCCACCACATTTATTCACATTCTGAGGTACTGCATGTGTTGGTCCAAACTGCTCTCAAGCAAACTAATTAAGAGCACCACAGCCATTTATCGTGGATGTCAAAGCTCCTCCAGCCTCAACCTTCTGTATGCGATTACAGTTATGTATACCTTGTTCTATTTATTTTAGTGGCATCAGAGCTGGTGCCTCATCACTTATAAGCAGTTGGGAAAAAAAGGACAAGTTGTGTTGTTTGCCTTGCAGCCCAGCAATCAGCTCAACATTAACAATGCAAGCACTCCTCGGCTCAATCTACACCCCCGACAAGAGAATAATATTTATTTATTTTTTGGTTTTTCGAGATAGGGTTTCTGTGTGGCTTTGGAGGCTGTCCTGGAACTAGCTCTTATAGACCAGGCTGGTCTGGAACTCACAAAGATCCAACTGTCTCTGCCTCCTGAGTGCTGGGACTAAAGGTGTGCACCACCACCCCTGGCAAGAGAATAATTTTTAATAATCAGAACTCTCTGGGAGACAGAAGACAAAAAGTAACGACAACAAAAGGACATCCTTAAATAAAGCTTCTTGTTCCTCTTTCACTGAAACTTGGCACTTAAATGCAACCATGGAAAGTCCAAAGCAAAAAAACATTGGGGAGTAAGAATGTTGTAACAAGGAGCTAGACGGATGGCTCAGCGGTTAAGAGCATGGCTGCTCTTCCAGAGGTCCTGAGTTCAAGTCCCAGCACCCGCATAGTGGCTTATAATAAGAGCACTCATAGACATAAAATAAATAAATCTTAAAAAAAAAAAAAAAAGACAGCCGGGTGGTGGTGGCGCATGCCTTTAATTCCAGCACTCGGGAGGCAGAGGCAGGTGGATCTCGCCTGGTCTCCAGAGCGAGTGCCAGGATAGGCTCCAAAGCTACACAGAGAAACCCTGTCTCAAAAAAAAAAAAAAAAAGAATGTTGTAACAGACAGCTTTTTTACATTGCTGATGGCCTGGGATCATTTCCTCAGATAATCCATTCCTGCAGCACTACAAATGCGGCTGAAGTTTCCTAAGAAAATCTCAAAACAGATGGGACACTGGATGCTGATGTGTTCTTGACCAACTGGGGGATTTACATATCACTTGTAAAATGTTAACAGACACCTCCCCTTTGAGAAAACACGATGGTGAGATCCTTAAAGCTATTTCTGTGTTCCCAGCTTGGGAACGTGATGCTGGGAACTTATCCTAAGGAGACCATCCAACAGCATCACACAGCTCTGGTCTGATCCTGGAGCTCCTCAAGTGTTGCCCCACCTGCAGCAGCCAAAACAGCTGTGTCAGCATTCAGCCGCAGATGGCTAATTTAAAAGTGTGCAACATTAACATGATGGCACGCTACCATCATTACAGTAGCTATGGGGCCACACAGAAGCCTGACATCAAAGGGGGGAATCACACACACATGCTTGTAACTATAAAAACATGGGTGTGTGCATATGCAGGGCTCTGGGCTCTGGAAAACAACAGCAACAGCTAAGGCTTCTGCCATCTTGCAAGGTTTTAGGTCCTGTAGGAACTCAGCATGTGTTTTCTTCTCTATCTTACCACTGTTTTCCTTAATAATGTAGTATCATGGCCAAGGGGATAGCTCAGGGCAGGGTGATGGCATACCATGCACAAGGCCCTGTGCTCCAGCACCAGCACCAGAAGATGGAGGAATAACAAATAATGTAAGATTATTCTGGCATACCATGCACAAGGCCCTGTGCTCCAGCACCAGCACCAGCACCAGAAGATGGAGGAATAACAAATAATGTAAGATTATTTCATCTAAAGTAAAATGTACATTTTCTGTATCTGACCACCAAGTCACTGGAAAATGAGAGAATTCAACCCTGGCACCCTAGTTGGAAGGCATGCTCTTAACTGGAAAAAAAAAAAACAAACAAACAAAACAAAAACAGTAGCCAGTAAGGGAAAATTGAGTCTCCTGGAGTAATAAATACTCTGATAGTTTGTACCATAAACGATGGTGACCAGGGTACACGGACACCGGTATTAACCCAAAAAAGTGTCAACATATCTTCCTTTTGAGAGGAGGCCACTGGTAGAGAATTACCCAAAGTCATGTAGCTGATGGCTCTGGGAGAGTCAACCTAAGGCCTATGCCATGGACCCGGTAAATGCATGGTTCTTTCCAGTGAGTAATGTATGATAGCAAGCGTTCCTAGCAAGCAGTGTGCATTTGTTAATGCTTTTGCACAGTAAAGGCCTCATCACTCATTTCCCTTGGACATCAGGAAGCAGGCCTGCAAATATGAAGCTGGGTCAGTGGTCAGAGTGAGACTCTGGCCCGTTTGTGCTCTGGGTGGACATTTATGACTTGGCACATGGATATCAAGCATGCCTCTCCACTGTGCATGCAGGTCTAAACACCTCTGCTGGCTACAATCCAAACCTCTAAATCCATCCCTGCTGCGCTGAGGCGGAGCCTCATTTCCCCACCCCCACCCCCACCCCGCCTACCCTTGGCCTGCAGGGTTCTTTCCCAGCACAACAAGCCCCACTTAACCTATGAGCAGAAGCTTTTCATAGTCAGCCCTTCCTCAGAGGGTGTTAATTTCCCTGGCTACCACCCACACTGTGTGCACACACCTACATCACTAGCATCTCCATTCACCAGCCTGGTGGAACCAGGCTGCTGGGATTTTAGGGAAGAGTTGGGGTAGAGAGATGGCTCAGTGTTTAGGAGCAGTAGCTGTTTCTCCAGAGGACCTAGGTTCAGGCCCCAGCACCCACACGATGACACACAATCTATTTTAAGGAAATAATAACTAATTTGCAATTGCCAATTGGGCCCTCATGAGACTTCCTAGAGCCAATATGAGAAAGGAAGAGTCTACAGGGCAGCAGAGAGTTGGGTCACTCACATCATCACACACCTTCAGTTTTCCAGCTTCCCCAGCCTACAATGTGGGAACAAACTGGTGAGACAGGTACATAGGATCTCTTTTAAAATAGCCTTCAGAGCCAGGCAGTGGTGGCACACACCTTTAATCCCAGCACTCAGGAGGCAGAGGAAAACGGATCTCTGTGAGTCCTAGGCCAGCCTGGTCTACAGAGTGAGTGCCAGCTAGGGCTGTTACACAGAGAACCCTGTCTCGAAAAAAGTCAAACAAACAAATAAATGATAAAAATTAAAAACATAATTAACGGTTGGTGGTGGCGCACACCTTTAGTCCCAGCAAGACCAGCTCTTGCTGGTCTACAAGAGCAAGTTCCAGGACAGTCTCCAAAGCCACAGAGAAACCCTGCCTTGAAAACCCATAAATAAATAAATAAATAAATAAATAAATAAATAAATAAAATAGCTTCCAGAATGCATCAAAGCTTGGCCCTCACATATCATGGCTGGCTCCGGCAGTGTTTACTCAGTGTACCAGCCATCACAGGACAACAAGCTGGAGAGTAACAGGAGTTCTGGAGTTGTCCCAGCAGCAGCAAATGTGGACACTGAACTTTCCATTCATTACCATTCCCTACTGTGTCAGAGACCCCAGCTGCATGGCTTGCCTGGAGCCACCACTCATCTACCAGGAAGATCTATCTCATCACCTCACTGAAAGAGGACTGGAAACGGCCCTGAAGTCAGAGGGCCAGATAGATTTGGAGGAGACAAATGTGGTCCCAGGTGTACCCTAGATAAACCAACCCACTCTCTGAGGGAAAGGTGAGTAGAAAACCCTGGATCACAGTGGCTCTGCTTGCTATGAATGAACTATCAACTAAGGCCCTACAACTGCTCTCACTATAGTTAGTTAACAAAGGCAAACAAACCTCAAACCTTCCTGTAATTTTGTATGCAAACCCAGTTATTTCCAATGAAACCTATACAAGTTAAGCTAAGCAAGTTGTTGCTTGCTTTTATTTTACACATGTTAAAAACACACTGAAGAGAGCTGGGGATGTGGCTCACTGGTAAAGCACTTACCTAGAGTGGGTGAGGCCCTGGCTGCATCACCAGTACTGTTTAGGTATAACCAATGGACCACGGGCCCATCACCTGTAATCCCCAGCACTAAGGAGGCTAAAACAGGACTCTCTAATTTTGAGGTCAACCTGATGAGACAGCAAACTCAGGGAACAGTACAGGCTGAATAGTGAGATCCTGTCCCCAAGTCCTGCTGGTGGCATACCTGCCAGCTGCTAGCCTGATGGGTTAGATGTCTGAGACAGAGTTGTCCTGGATCACTGCTGTGATCATGTGCTGATTCTGGGGCACTGTGGCAGTGCTATGGACCCCGTTCTTCCTCCCCTCAGAGCTGACACAGCAGCCTGAGGGGCCGGGTCAATGTTGAGAGAGATTGCTGCCTCTCACAGTGTGGAAAATAGGTGAACAGGATGGATATATATTTATCTTTGGGAGATGATACATGCTTAGAAGCTTTTAACAACATTCTTTACACCAAAAATATGACAAAATACTCCAACTCATGGATAGCAAAACTCTTGACTTGAATTGGGTCTTAAAAATTGAAGGATGTCAACAGAAAGTCCTTCGCTGAACCACCCACCAGCTACTCAGGTCATTAAGAGGGGAGTTTGCTCTGATCTGAAAGATGGCTCCCCAGGTTGATTCAGCTGGGCAAGGGTCCCAGATGAGACCACCCTCTTGCTGCCCATGGAATGGGGCAGAACTTCCTTACCTTGTTTCCAGGGGCACAGATGGCTTTGTCTCAGGGGCTTCTGTTTTTCAGCGGCATTGCCCATCCCTAAAGCCAGCCGGTCACAGCACCTTTGACAGCCCAGGTGTCTTCACTGAATGACGAGTAAGAGCTAAGTCACTGGCTGAAAGGGGATTCATTTCTAGGATAACCCAAATGACCCAGCAGCCCCAGGCAGAGCCCCAGGAGCGCTGACACACCCTCTGGAGAAAGCAGGAACTCTGTCACTCTAAAAGGTCTCAGCCTCCTGCCTTTTAAATTCTTTGGTGGTACTGGGAGGAAACTAGAAGAAAGGGTGTTACCGCCCTACCGGTGGGTTGCAGTAATCCACTATATTAAGCAGCTCTTTCCTTGGGCCTCCTCTGACATCACCAGCGCTGCAGCAGCCTAGAGAATGGGCTGCACTCCTATCGCCACCGCTGCTTTCCCAGGGGAAGAAGTAGGGACTGATGATCCAGAAGCCGAAAGTCACAATGGGCCACTCTAGAGTGTGCAGTGAGCAACCTTGCATAGACCCTGTGTCACACCTTCTATTTAAGGTCTGTCTCATTCTCAGCCCCATGACACAGAGGAAACAGGCTGATCTCATTAATACTGTGGCTCCAAGGGAAAAACAAAACACTCAGATGCAAGTAATGTCTTCATTCACAAAGGAAACTAAATGCCAGTGCAACCTTTAAGGGTATGTACCCCGAGTTCTAAACCCCAACTCTATCTAAAGAACAATTTTTCTGGAGAAGGTGTCATGCCATCTGGTTTGCAGGAAGAAAACAAGGGCATGAAGTCTGAGAAAAGGGAAGAAAAAAATCAAGGTGAGTGTCAAGTCTAATTTATCTCAGCCCCCCATAGTAGGGTTAGAAATGCTGCTAAGGGTATCAGGGTAAGAATGCCAGCTTTGGACCTAGCCAGAGCTTCAAACCCAGCTCTGCCACTGGTGTTGCCTATAAAGTCAGCAGCCTCAGTTTCATCATCTGCTAAATGGACACATCACCAGTCCACCTCTGCTGTCATTTGGACTAGACCCACCTAGAAAAGCTTGGTACATATTCTTCATGATTGTCTCCTAACCTCACAGCAGGTCAGACAGGAGAGCCCTGGCTCCACGTTAGCCAGTGGTCCACAGCAGACATGTTCTGTGAAGCTGGGTGGCATGGCATGGAAGCAAACTGAAGCAGCCTGAAGACAGCACCCAAAAGCAGACCCTGAGAACCACAGAAAAGTTAATACTCTCTTCAACTCTGCTGCTGCTCCTACTAGCCCTGGAGAAGGAAGGGCCTCGATGAATGAGGCAGGATGGGGAAGTGCCTCGCTACATCTCCACGAGATCTTCAGGTGCTGTGCTTTCCTCCATCAATCCAGAAAGCATTTCAGAAAATCAGTCTGCGCTTCCAAGCTTGGCAAAGCAATAGAACCACAGAAAAGTTAATACTCTCTTCAACTCTGCTGCTGCTCCCACTAGCCCTGGAGAAGGAAGGGCCTCGATAAATGAGGCAGGATGGGGAAGTGCCTCGCTACATCGCCACAAGATCTTCAGGTGCTGTGCTTTCCTCCATCAATACAGAAAGCATTTCAGAAAATCAGTCTGCGCTTCCAAGCTTGGCAAAGCAAACCCATACCCAGTTCATCTTTCCAAGGCTGCTGCAAGAGGGTCCTGTTTCCTTCACTGCACACCGAGACCCCCACCCCACCCCACGTCACAGTGCAACCCCACACTGGACAAACTGCACACAGGAACCACATGCCTGTGCGGCCCACAAAGCTGCTAGTTAGTTGAGACTGATTTTAAACCCAGCTCTATCCCTGCTAACCACACCTGAGCCTTTTGATGAGCTGGAATAACTTCATCTCTCTTTCTCATTAAACACTTGAACACCTTTCCTCAGGGAAATTTCAGCTACAAATATGCTACCCGATCTTGCTTCTTCCACACTATGTGAAATTTAATACATGCCAAAACTAACACAGTAAAGAGGTTCTGGTCAGAACCTGCATTTCAACATCTTTCACTTAGGGAAAGTTTTATTTTATCAACATTTGGCAAATAGCTTATGCAGCTGCCCAACAGGACAAGAGCCTGTCAGAAGTTGTGCTTGGCAATGCTGATGTGTGGATGGGTGTGGATAGGTGAAGGAGTGAACAGTGACAAGTCCTACCTGGTCCCCCACACTGGAATGGGTTAGCCACATAGAGACCACCCTGAGCCTGTGCAGGGCCTCTGCACTGGTGTGTCACCCACACCATTACTGCCCCTCCCACTCTACAAAGTCGCTGATACAGGCATCTGATTATGGCAGACCCACAGTGCAGGGTCTGGGGAGAGGCTCAGCAGGTTAAAGTACTGCCTCAAAAAGCCTGATGACCTGAGCTTGGCCGGTCCCCAGAAATCCGTGGTGGAAGCAGAGACCTGACTCCTGAAAGTTGTCCTTTGCTTGCCATACATGCACCAAGGCATGTGTTCTCCATAGTGGCAGGTGCACACCCACTATGGAGAACATAGAGGTACACAATAATAATAATAGCAACAGCAAAATGTTTACAGAGCTGGGCTCAGGCTCTGCCCTGTTAGTTCTGAGCTGTTTTCACTCTGGTGGCAAATGAACCCAAGATCCAAACAGTGTATCTATCTATGGATGACACTGGCAAAAATACAACTTTCTCAAGAACACAATTTTTCTTGAGGACTTGGTGGCTCAACCGCTTCTGAGGCAGCCCTGGTTCCAAATGTTCAAACTTGTGCTGCTCCAGTGAAGTGGGGGAGATGAGCTGAAGGTTCATTTTTAAGGACTCCCCCTGAGTTGCCAAGTCAGAGAAAGTGTCCCCAGAAACATCCCAAAAGGTAAATATGCTTGTCAATCAAGACTGGCTGCCACTTCACATGCAGGGAGCTGACAGAAGATGCTCACAGATAGGATGAATCAAAACCTGAGTGACAACTGGACATGGTGGCTCCAGCCTCTGATCTCAGCACTCAACAGACTCGAGGAGGATGATCCATGAGTTCAACAAGGTCAGCCTAGGCTATACTTTGAGTTCCAGGCCAGCTGGGGCTAGTATAAGGGAAACCCTGTCTCGAAAACCAAAGCAAACAAAAGCCAGTGCCGCCAGAGAGGAGGGCCCTCCTCATAGCCAGCAAGGCCATGCTTCCCCATGACCCACAAACACCAAAAGGCACTGGGAGCACATGCTGACCCCAGCTAGACAATTTGGCCTTGGGTCATCATGGTTACTTCTTGAATGATGACAGTGCTACAAACCTCAAATCAGACTCAAAAGCAGAGGCCAAGCAGACTCAGGTGAGGGCCTCTTTCACACTACAGATGGGGATAGGGTGGGGGGACAGCTACATAGCTCCTGAGAAGGCCTCATCCATCCCCAATCTTCATCTTTGCCTAGGAAAAATTTCCTCCTGCCAAGAGAAGGAGGAGGAGAGTGGCAGAAACTGACTTTGGAGGGCAGGCAGGTTTAAAGGCCTGGATGTGCTTCTGAGCTAATGAACTGTGAGACAGAAAGGGAACCAAGTGCTCTAAACTTTATTTTCTCATGCATGGAAACTGTATACTATCACACCACATAGCCACCCTCAGACAGACAACTCTAAAGGCTAAGTAAGAACTTACAAAGTGCTGGCACACAGCAGGCCCTCAATAAAAAAATAGCAACAGTTTCATGTTTCATTGTGATTATCTACAAACTACCAGCCTTGGCTACAACTGGGAGAAAATGATTTACCCTCCCCAAGAGCTGACTTTTTGAGCACAGATCTGCTGCTGCACTGTTAAATAACTCACTTCCCTCACACAATTAAACCAATACTTCACTTGCAAATATCTGAGCCACGGGAATGATATTTTGATTGTGGGAAGCAACATAAACCAGAAATGTAACACTGTGGCCTAAAGTTTGAAACATTTTTGTGAGAGTCCTCCTCCCTTTAGCTCCCTTCATAAACTGATGGGTGCAGAAGAAAAATAAGTCAGGGTTGTACAGGGCACTGCTCACTGCAGGATGCTGACGGAAATGGCTCAGAAAGGAAAGGCCCTGCAGGAGGTGCCATGTGGGTACCCCCACAGGGCCAAAGAAACAGCACGGGGCTCTTGGGTGGTGCCCAGGAGCTGACACCCAGCTTTGTGTGTGTATGTCTGCCGGGAGGAAAGTCTGATGTTGGTCATTTCCCTCCTGGAGAAAATTACAACAATACGAGGAAGCACAGAGCCTGGTGGGAACGTTCCATGGGGGAGGGGGCGGGGGAGCCCGGTTCTGCACATGCTCCAAGGGCTGAGCAGAGCAGAGGTCAGGTGTCAAAGGCATGAGGCAGAGCTCATGGGCCAAGTTTCTGGGTCATCTGCTGATATCCCTGCACAGCAGGGGAGGATCATGGGAGGCAAAGGCCCTTGAGCAGACTGTGTCACAGAAGCACCAGCCAGCTTTAGAATGAGGCTCCAGCATGAAATGACATGCACAGACATTTGATTACCACGCTGAGCGGCATGCTGGGGAAGCACACCACCTAATCCAATTGGCAGGCCAAGGAAAGAAGGACGAGAATTGAAGAATGGGGTTCTCCCATGTCACTGGGAGAACATGCAGGAGGTGACAAGCACTGGATAGGTAAGGGAGGGCTCTTTTCCTGAAGTGTTAAACCATATACATGCATTTTTCTGGGAAGAGAAGTTGATGGTTTTCACCACCTCAAAAGGTTCTAAAATGCCAAGAATCACCAAGTTGGTCCAAATCATTAAAATGAAATGGGGAAACTGAGTTTGTATTGCTGTGACAAAACGCCATCACCAAGGTGACTTGTAAAAGACAGCGTTTAACTCGGAGGCTCACGGCTCCAGAGAGTCAGGGAGCAGGCATCGAGCAGGCTGGCACGGCACTGGAGCAGCAGCTGAAAGCTGACATCCTGACCCACAGAGGCGCACACAGGAGCACACACGCACAGGTGCACACGCAGGGGGTGGGGGGGCAGAGACAGAGAGAGGGAGAGAGAGACAGAGAGAGACGAGGGGAGAGAGGGAGAGACAGAAAGAGAGGGGGAGGAGGGAGGAAAAAGGAGAGGAG